CCATGGTTAATTAATCGAAGACTCCTCTTTCTCTTCACACCTTTTTGAAGAAATACTTAATAAAAATCTCTAGCCCTAACCTGTTTGGCTCAGTGGATAGGGCATTGGCCTGCAGACTGAAGGGTCCCAGGTTCGATTCCGGTCAAGGGCATGTACCTTGGTTGCGGGCACATCCCCAGTGGGGGGTGTGCAGGAGGCAGCTGATCGATGTTTCTCTCTCATCGATGTTTCTAACTCTCTATTCCTCTCCCTTCCTCTCTGTAAAAAGTCAATAAAATATATTTTTTTAAAAAAATAATAAAACATCTCTAATTGATTCACACATTTATGAAGTATAGGGCTACATCTGTGAAAAAGACTCATAGGTATTCTCTCTTTTAAATTCTTTTTTTTTAAATACATATTCTTTTTATCTCAAACTACCAAATGTTACTGAAATCCTTCTTCTCTACAAAGGATTCTCAAACAACACTGTCACGGAACTGGAAGGTTCTTTAAAGATCACTCAGTATAAACAGCATATTCATCCTTCTGACCTAAGATGAACTAAAATTAATAATCAGCATGCCATTGAGCCAAATTTAAATTCTAAAAATGGAATTCTTCCAAAAGGTTTAATTTTATCAAGCTTCTACAAGTACATACTAGCAGTTAATTTAAATGCTCTGCAATGACTGAAACCTTAAGCACAAGTGGTTAAAACCTCAACCAGCTGGTGCTCAGTACTATAGAAGATGGGAAGACAGCCAGCCACTAAGACCACATTTTGACACAAGAATAAATTATGACTCATCTCTGGAATCATTGGCCATTGCTCTGGGCTATGCATTAAGTAGTTTCTCCAAAAGACCTCCCAAGACACTGTGCTTATAAACATCTGCAATGAGATGATCATTTGCATATCAAACCACAGAAACTACTGTCTTAAAGTTAATATCTCATCTAAACAGTATGAAAATACTTAATAAAATGTATTTTTTAAATGTTTCCTATTAAAATATTTATAGAAACAAACTGACATTTTAGTGTGGACAAAACATCCATCTATCATAAATGATAAAGAATTTGGTGCTATAAATCTGGCATTCGCATTGTAATTAATAATAAAAAAAAAAAGATGGGCAACTGTAGCTCAGTGCTTATGCCTCAAAATGTTTATGGGCAGACTGTGAGCAAAGTCAGGTGGACACAAGTGTACCATACAATTACTAACGGTTTAATACTGTTGGCAGAGTGAATAAGTGGGCAACAAGTCAAGATTTGCCTATTACAATGGACCAAGAAATGTTTGCTATTTTATCTTATTTTAAACCCATTCCCCTTCCTCTAATTTGGTGAGATCATAGAATTCTGGACTGGAAGGCACCCTCAGGGTAAACCATTTGATCACCCTGGCCTTGGATTGAGCTCTTGAGAGAATAAGTAACTTGTCCTTACTCTTGGTTGATGGCAGAAATGGGACTGGAATTCAGACTTAAGGCTCTTAATAAGCCAGGTTGTTGGTGTCATGGAAAGAAGCCCTCCCTGAGGCCTCCTTTCTACAAAAAAAACACCTAACTCTTTGGAGTTCTTCCTTGCACCCCTTTTCATGGGTGAAACTGACTTGCCTCCTCCACTTCTGCATGTTGCACTTTCTTCCACTATTTCTCACACTTACCTGAAATCCAAAGAATAAGGCCACCTCCACTGACAACCAACCCCTAAGAGAATATTACCCAGGGACAGCTTCCAAAATAATGCTTCTACGTCCAAACCTCAACCAGAGAACTGTTCAAGTCAACAGTGTTGCTTAGGAAATGAACATTATATACAGAGAACATTTCTTAAAATTAAATCTTGATCTTAAAGGGCCCATTCTAGTCTTACACCCTGACCACCCTATTAGCAATATGCTGAACGGCGGGTGAGTGAGGACAGAGATTGCAACAGCCCCTGGAGCGGCCGAAACTGTCCAGGAAGCCACAGAAGGAAACAGCATTAGCACGCGCGCAGAGAAGCGGGGGCAGGTGCACCTCCCACCGTCCGGAAGGTGCGCCATCGGGGACCGTCTCCTGGCAGCGGCCGGATGAGCTCGAACAGGGGCACCGGACGGGATTAAGCCCGAGGATCTGAGGAGCCCATTCGCGGAGGGTCCCCACGGGCGGGCGGGCGGCGCCGGAGTCCCCGGCCTGCCTCCCCCGCCGCCGCCCGCCGCCCCGGGCGCCCGAGCCCAGACCTGTGAGATAGTTGGTCCACTTGTACAGAACGCCCTCCATGCTTCAGAGCCCGGCGCCGCGCATCCTCCTGGCCCGCCGGCCGCGGCGATGGGGTAGGCGCGCAGCCCGGACCGCCGCTCCCGGCCCCGGCCCCTCCCGGGCGGCCCGGCGGCACCGAGCCCCTCAGCCCGCGCGCGCCGGTACGTGGCGGCCCTCAGAGGCCGGGGCGACGGCCGCCGCGTGGAGCTCGGGCCCCGCCAGGCGCGGGCTCAGACATCCCCGGGGAGCCTGCCTCGTGGCGGCGGCGACGATCGGAAGGAACCGCGGCCCGCCTCCCGCTCGCGTCCCGCGCCCCGGCTGCGCCCTCCGCGCCGGGCACTCCCTCCGCCGCGCCCGCCTTCCTGGCCCCCAGGCTCCCCGCTGGTTTCATTGACCCCGACGTCTCTTTCACTTCCTGGTTGAAAGGGGCCGGCGCGGCCCGGGAAACCCCTCCCCGGCGGCGCGGCCGCTCTGCCCCACTCCTCACCCGGGACTCGCGCCCGGCCGCCGGCTCCTCTCCATCCCCCTCGGCCCTCGGCTCCCGCCCGCCCGCCCGCCCCGGGGGCCTCAGGCTCCGGCCCGCCCCAGGATGAGCCCCCAGGGCTCTCAGGTTTTACATAACTGAGCCTCAGGTCCTTTCTCGTAGTTGTTGTTGGGGGCGGGGGGGGGTGGTCCAAGAAAATAAAAGATCCTATTTATGTTTCTTCGTGTCCTCACATTCAGGGGTCCCACAAACTGTCCCCGGGAGGCCGGGGGTACTGAGAGTCCTCCGCCAGGAAGAGCCAGGGGCCCCAAGGAGCGGTCATCAGCACATCTTCAGTTAACATCGCTTCTCAACCTGTGGGTCGCGACCCCTTTGGGGGTCCAAGGACCCTTTCACAGGGGTCGCCTAAAACCATCGGAAAACACATATAATTACATATTGTTTTTGTGATTAATCACTACGCTTTAATTATGTTCAGTTTGTAACAATGAAAATAAATCCTGCATTTCAGATATTTACGATTCATAACAGTAGCAAAATTACAGTTATGAAGGAGCAACGAAAATAATTTTATGGTTGGGGGGTGTCACCACAACAAGAGGAACTGTATTAAAGGGTCGCGGCATTGGGAAGGTTGAGAACCACTGAGTTAGAAGATAAAACGTGGAATCAGTTTGGAGTTTGTTTTACTAAAAATGGGGGCTTTCCCCTAGCTTTTATGATTTTTAAAAATCCTATTTGGAACTGATCACCTTACAGGATTGACAGTAATTTTCAGATTTATGGAATTTTGCAGGGTTTCAGCAAAGCAGATGTGACATGCTCAGTGTTGTGGCTTTTCTTAGCATCCCTGAGGGAGATAGAAGGACATCTCCCCTTCCAGAACCTAATCAAGGCCTCAGCCTCTCTGGTAAAAAGTCTTTGGATATTCACTTGGCAATAAGGTGCACTGATGAATTGATACAGAGATGGGTAGTTGGAGAGGTCATAAATCAACTATAGTTAGATGTTGATACAATCTGAGCGGTAGGTGTAAGCCCACGGTGATAGTAAAATTCAGCTTTTTCTGCATGTTCGAAGGTTTTCCATTCTACAGTGTTGAGAGGGAAAGCTGGCTTTGTGCCAGGCTTCACTGAATCCCTCATGCATGCTGGCTGTGAGATTGGAACAAAACGCCCAATACTGACGGGACAGGAAGCCCTCCCCTTTCAGTCATTGGATTTCCACTTCCTGTGGTTTCAGTCATCAGAGGCCAACCACGGTCTGAAAATATTACATGGAAAAATCCCAGAAATGAACAAATCGTACGTTTTCAGTTGTGCCTGTTCCCAGTAGCCGGATGAAATCTGCTGTCCTGCTCCCTCCTGCCAGAACAGGAGCCATCCCTTTGTCCAGCACATCCGTGCTGTGGTAGAGGACAATATTTCCAAAGAAAAAGAGAGAGATCACATTCACATAACTTTTATTATAGTCTGTTGTTTTAATTGTTGCCTTATTAGTTATTAATCTCTAAATGTGCTCAATTTATTAAGCTTTATCATAGGTTTGGATAGGAAAAATATATATAGGGTTCAACCCTAGCCTGCTTTCAGACATCCACGGGGTCTTGGAACATATCCCCGCAGGATAATGGGGTATGAGGATACGAGGGGACCACGGAGCCTCGTTTCTCCTCGTGCGATGTGAATGATTACCGACTGGCGGAGTTGGTAAGAAGAGCGACACTGCGCACCTCTCGGAGCCCTGACATCCAGGGCGGCCCCAGGGGTGGGGGACAGTAACGCCAACGCAGCAGGTAGGACCCGCGGGGGGTGCGCTCCGCGGTGGGAAACGAAGCGGGGGAGCAGTGCGCCTGTTTCCTCGCCACCAGGCGGCCTCCGGGCCGTGTGTGGCTTAGCCCGGGGCCTTCCAGGACACCCCGGACACCTCCCCGATGCCCGCCCGTTCTCTGGGGGCCTGCAGAGAAGCCTGTTATGCCCAGAAACGACAACCATATCCTCTGACTACACCCCACCCGGGGCTGTTGTATTTCGTCTTTTGCCAGTTTCATTTTAGGAAACGCCAGCTTTGCTACACGAACCCTGAGGAAACGGCTGTAAAATCAGCGGAGCCAGCGAGAAGGGGTGCAAGTAAGTGATCAGTGTTGCCTTAGAGACTGATGCCCGCAGCCAAAGCGCCCGGTGCCAGAGGGACACCGCCCGCCTCTGACTGGCAAGATTCCGCAGCTGAGCCTGCCGCGGGGGGGCGGAGGGGGGGGGCGAGTGGGGGGAGGCGGGACCCCGCGCCGCGCCGCCCCGCCCCAACCCCGACCCTTTGTGACGTAAGATAATGCTGCCACGCGTCGGAACTCCGCTGCCTGGGGGAGCACAGGGCGCGAGTGACACGCGGGAGGGAACGCAGCGGTCATCTGGGGCAACTCCAGGAATCATGCATTTGTTAATCAGATTAATCGTTTTCTTTTACGTGTGGGGCATTTTTACTGCTCAGGGACAAAAGGGAGAGGAGCGCACAGAGGAAGTGAAAATAGAAGTTGTGCATCGTCCAGAAAACTGTTCTAAGACTAGCAAGAAGGGAGACCTGCTAAATGCCCATTATGACGGCTACCTGGCTAAAGATGGCACGAAATTCTACTGCAGGTAGGAAATGCCGCGGACCGCTGTCACGTCCAGTTGATGCGCAGAATCTAGCCTCCCTCCAGCATGCAGGAGCTTAATTGGTTGGTTGGTTGGTTGGTTGGTTGGTTGGTTGGTTGGTTGGTTGGTTCTTGTTTTTTAACAGTAAGAGTTGAGGCTTTTATTCCTAAGGGGGAAATCAGATTAGATGCAGTAGTTCTCTATGAAGCTAAATATTACTTTCTAAGTTATTGAAAATGTTGGACCAAGAAATTATCAAAAAAGAGACTGTGGCCCTGCTGGTGTGACTCAGTAGTTAAGCCTCAACCCATGAACTAGGAGGTCAAGGTTCAATTCCCCTGGGGTGGAGGGGCAAAAGCCCCTGTTGCAGGTTGCAGGCTTGATCCTCAGTAGGGGGCATGTAGGAAGCAGCTGATCAATGATTCTCTCTCATCATTGATATTTCTATCTCCCTCTCCCTTCCTCTCTCTGAATCAATGTTTTAAAAAAAATACACGATGTCCACACACACAGCCGACCATTCCCATTACCCTTGGGACTTACGGAAGTAAGTCAAGGCACAGTGTGTAAGGATGTTCGCACTTTTCCTTTGCGGGTTGGAGTGTCTTTACAGAGGGTTGGATAGGGTAGTTTAAGGGATTTTGTCTGGCCTTCAGAAGCTCCATATTTACAGACTAGGGGCCACTTTCCAACTGTCAAGAAGACACACAGCAACTTTCCCTGATGACTTCTGGGCCCTGTGTCCTCCACCTGACCCCTCATCCCATGACTGCCTACTCTGATTTAATTAAAGGCTTACTACTCAGAGGGAGAATGTCTTTTCTTCATCTGTGCTATTACCTATAACGATAGGACCTGGGGAAAGTTAGTTCTTTCTACTGAGAGGAAAATAGAGAAATTTAAGAAGAAAGGGTACAAATTTTAAATAACTTTAAAATATTTATGTGGCTAAAACTGCACCATCATTTTTTAGAACAAATCCAAACAGGTTAAATGTATTATTTGGACAAGCCATGCAGTTAGGTAGGGGCAGAAGGCCCATTAAAAAAGTTAACTGTTGAGTAGTTTCTGTGAAAACGACAAAAAGAAAATGAGATGACAAATCGTACCTCATTCTGGCTATTATGAGGTAAGTTTGAGCCAAACACCCCACCAGGGGGGGTTCAGAATGAGATATAGTATGGGAAGAGAGATGGTTAAAGAGGACTCCAATTGTAATATAACTAAATGCCCAGCAGTATTTTTTTAATCCTCATCCAAGGATATGTTTATTAATTTTTAGATCGAGAGGGAGAGAGAAACTTCGATGTGGGAGAGAAATATGGATCGGTTGCCTCCCTTATCACCCCAACCAGTATTGAACTTGCAACCTTTTTGGTGTACAACGGAACAATGCTCTAGCCAACTGAGCCACCCAGCCAGGGTGCCCAGTTTTTTTTTAGTTTGATTTCATTTTTTTTGAAATCAGCTTACCTAAATGTTGTTTTTTATTATAGCCGGACACAAAATGAAGGCCACCCCAAATGGTTTGTTCTTGGTGTTGGGCAAGTCATAAAAGGCCTAGACATTGCTATGATGGATATGTGCCCTGGAGAGAAGCGAAAAGTGATAATACCCCCTTCATTTGCATATGGGAAAGAAGGCTATGGTAAGATGTTTTAATATTTATTCCTCGGTCTCAAAGAAATATTTCTACACCCATGTTCATAGCAGCACTATTCACAAAAACCAAAAAATAGAAATAACTCGTGTTCTTTAACAGATGAATGGAGAAACAAAATGGGTATTTACATACAATGGAATATTATACATCCTTAAAAAGGAAAGGGAATTCTGGCACATGCTATAACATGGATGAACCTTGAGTACATTATGCTAAGTGAAATAAGCTAATCATCAAAAAACTAATGCTATATGATTCCACTTTAACTAGGTACCAAGAATAGTCACATTCATTGAGACAAAAAAAAAGAGAGTTGTTGTCAGAGCCTGGGAAGAGGGTAGAATAGGGAATTGTTATTTAATGGGTATAGAGTTTCAATTTTGCAAGATGAAGTAGTTCTGGAGATTGGTTGCACAACGATGTGAGTATAGTTAACACTACTGGAGTGTACACTTAAAATGTTATACTGGTAAATTTTATGTTACATGTATTTTCTTCCAATTAAAAAATTTTCAATCTCTCAAAAAGTTCAAATAAAATTTAAAAATCATAGAGGAAATAATTACAGAACTATAGGGTACAGTAAACTTTAGCTGTACCTATTCCAGTCTAGCCAGCCTCCTGTTTTTACATATAAAGAAAATACGACATTGTTCAAATACGGATCTCTGGCCAGTGTTGTTCTTCCCACACAGTGTTAGCTCTCATAATGATCATGTATATTTTATAAGCTCCACATTTGTCATATTTGTTTTTAGCATAATGTTTATTTGTTTTTTTAACATAAATGTAAATAGCACATACCTTTGGATAAGCATTACCAAAGTCAAATCATAAAACTTGGGAAGCTGAAACATATGACTTTGGAGTAAAAGGATAGCACTGGAACATGGTAAAAAGGGCATCTGAAATAACTGTTAGTCACCATTACCCAAATTTAGGAGAAGCCTTGAAATGTGAAAGAACTGAACTGTGTCTTTCAATATCTCACCTATATTTAAAGCCTGGAGTGAGATCTGAAAAGCTAGGTAAGGCAGTAAAATAGGGAAAATGTTTGTAATACATATGAGAACTCCTGATAACAAATAATAAAAATGACCTACCCTTAGGAATACACAAGTATATAAACAAGTGGCCCACTAATAACAACAAAAAATACAAATGACCTTTAAGCTTTTGAGAATACTAAATTTTATTCATAATTAAAGAAGGTGAAATTAAAACAAAAGTGAGACACCATTTATGTCTTTCCTAATCTGCAAAGACATAAAAGTTAGCAAAGGTTTGGAAAAAACAGTAGGCTCATGCATTATTGCCGGGAATGTAAATCATTCTAACTCTCTGGCAATTTCTATCAAAATTTAAAATGCATATTTTCTCTGACCCAGTAGTTCCATTACCATGAGTGTGCACAAAAGTATATATAAAAGAATATTCATTGCAGCCTTTTTTGGTAGCAAAAGACTGGAAACTACCTTAGTATCCATCAGTAGGAAATCGGTTAAATAAATCATGGTATATCTATAAAATGGATTATTGTTCAGCCAGTAAAAAGAAGCTGTGTACAATGAAGAAATGATTTCCTATCCTCAATGAGCTTATATGTACAAGGGAGAATCTCTCATACGCATCATGCATCTAGGTAGACTCTATCTGGAAAGATACACAGTCATCCAATGACATGAAGTGGTCCTGGGAAGGTGGCCTGAGGGTCAAGGATGAGGAGATTTCTTCTCATTCTGTAATATATTGTACTGTTTAAATTTTTCACCGTGTGCATCTATTAATTTTTCCAAAATTAAAATTTTAAAAGACACCAAATTAAAAGTGGAGCAAATAGATGAATTTTAGAAATGGGCAATCTGTCAGAGGGACAGTTTTGATATTTCATTCTCAATTAAGTCCTTGCTTCCTATTGCCGTGTAAGGATGCTAAAGAATCTTTAACACCTCTTCATTCTATTTAGAGTCCTTGGTAACTCCACCTCTTTGAAATATTGAGTATATAATTAAAGTAATTAAAGGTTAATTTTCTCCAATAAAATATTGTCATTAACTCCCAAATATTTCATTGAAATGTCATGCCCTCTTTGAGGCTGTTGGTTTACTCTTTAAGAGTAATGATTCCCTCGCCTCTTCTTCCCAGCAAGAACAAGGGATCACTGCTCGAAACTGGATTGGAGGAAGGTTAGTGTGCAAGTCAGACCCAGTCAGACTTAAAATTTCTCAAGAGACAGTTTCAGATAAATACAGCTTCATTTTCAATGCTTTTTTACCAATCATTTGATCCCAACAAAATAGCTCCACCTGAACCATAATTTGTATATTCTATTTTTAATTGAAGAGGAAGTGAGAAGAGAAATAAAAAATTGAAGATAAATAAAATTGAATGCAATACTTGTCCTAAAAATGTTGTTATAGGTTGAAGCCAATTCTAGGCAACATGATAACAGGCGACGTTTGCCTTTCAGTCTCTTTAATCTCATTTTCAGAGTTTCCCTTTCTTGTGTTGTCCCATCAGATGCCTCCACATTCTGCCTACTACCAGAGCACCTGCTTCCCTATCAGCCTACACTCACATCCCTCATCAATAGATGCTCATCTAGAGTCCTATTACCTTAAGGCAAATGACTACTTAGTTTATCCTTTTTGTAAACTAATTTATGCTTGACTACACAAGCTGCCTAATCTATTATTAAACCAAAAACCCTTGCTGTGGAGATGTGGAAATTTGACTTGAAGTTGGTTCATATTCAATTTGAAGTGTCTCCAAAAAATATAAAAATAATGCATTTCACTAGTAACACCACCAACACTTTCATTTTACACATAGAGGAACTGAGGCCCAAACAAAAGTGTGTTGTTTAGAATGTAATTAACTGCAAGTTTACCTGCACTATAATAGCTTGGATTAGATTATTTAAAAAGTTGCAGTGTAGACCATAAGTAACTGCTTAACAAAACTTCTTGATCAAATAAGCTTTTAAAAATAAGTTATTAAGAACTAACATAAGTTATAACTTTGTTTTAGGTAGTACTTGAAGAGGTCTTTCTTCTGCACAATGTCCTTGCCTCATGTTGCAGAACACCCCTGCATGTCTTGAAATGCATGTGACTTGTTTGTGCTTTAATTAACAGTACATGTGGTATGTATAGATTCTTCACATTAACTCCTATGTCTTTGATCTACTTCTCTAAATACAAGTAATTCTATAGCAAATGCACATTTCTCTTCTTTATACTTTAGTTTGTTGCAAGAAAAAAGAATTGGCAATGTTTTCTATGTTTATAGTAGAATTGTTCAGAAACTTCAACCTTTAATATTTTTTCTTAAGAAATTTGAATTTGTATTTGTATTTGGAATTTGTTTGTTTGTTTTTTAAATTTTTTTTTAAATATATTTTATTGATTTTTTACAGAGAGGAAGGGAGAGAGATAGAGAGTTAGAAACATCGATGAGAGAGAAACATCGATCAGCTGCCTCCTGCACATCTCCTACTGGGGATGTGCCCGTAACCCAGGTACATGCCCTTGACCGGAATCAAACCTGGGACCTTTCAGTCCGCAGGCCGACGCTCTATCCACTGAGCCAAACCGGTTTCGGCTGGAATTTGTTTTTAATTATTGTTTTATTATAAGAAAATCGTAACTGGACAGAATAGGAATGGGTTTTAAAAAGCGATCATTGAGTCAATCTCTAGCTCTTTTACTATAAAATCAGGTAATAGGTGCTGCTTTGGTTGGGATGGTCACATTAGTCATGTGATGCACAGGAAGATTCTTCTATGTCCTGGCTTTGAGATGACTGATGATGGTCTCTCCTTTTGGCTGTAACTTTCAAATTCTTTGGAATATATAAGCACGCTAGCAAGAATTCTCTGTGTGTGTTTTTTTTTATGATAGAAATTACTATTTTCTTGAAAGAACAAAATTAGCCATTTTAAAAATAAAGGATAGTTGTCATTCATTCAACAAATATTTGAGTGATAAGAATCAGGCATTCTGAAAGACTCTAGGAATATACCAGTAACACAAATCACCCACTGCCTCTTGCAAGTCATTTCTACAGGTTATTTTAATGAAAGAACATCTGAAATAGCCAAAGCCTACTACTAAAATCATCTGTGATATCAGTTAATAGATTAACTTTATTAAGGAGATCTGTTCAACTTAATACTTAAAATTTTTTATTGTTTAGAAATTTCTTCATAAAATTGTTACTGGTTTATTCTGTCATTACACTTTATATTTAATATCTATAAAGAATTTGAAAGATAAACACATTGATATATTTTTTTTATTTATGCTCCCAAATAACTATACAAAATCATTTTCTAAAAGATTACTGATCTATGCTTTGAGATTTTCCTACCCAGGTATTTCTTCTCTGTACCAGCTCTCTCCTTTAAAATGATCGGTATATTAATAAAAATTATATGATTTATATTTATTTTTATTCAATTAGGGAATAATAGTCCTCTAAGTTCTTAGAACTGACTTGATTTAAAAACATATGGAAAAAAATTCTAAAAAGTATTTAGAACACAATTTTTATAGATATAAAATAATATAATCATAATGCTGTAATGGCTACTTGTGAATAAATATTTGAACATTATCTTCATGTAAGTTAAACTGTGAAAATGTATACTTTTTAGCAGAAGGCAAGATTCCACCGGATGCAACATTGATTTTTGAGATTGAACTTTATGCTGTGACCAAAGGACCACGAAGTATTGAAACGTTTAAGCAGATAGATACAGACAATGACAGGCAACTCTCCAAGACCGAGGTAATTTAAACAGATTTCGTGTGTACGGTCTAATTTTTTATCACACTTTAAGTACATTTTTGTTACAACTCTTATTTTTTTACTTCTACCTAGTATGGACTGATTACTTAGCTTTTAATAGAAGAGCTGGTTACAAAAAAAGTCGGAGCTCCAAGAAGGAAATATGCTTTTTCAAAACAAAACTTAGTCATTCTGTTCAATTTCTTTTCTCCCTACAAGAGGGCCATTACAATACCATACTAATCTCTAGGAGGCATTTCCAGCCTCTAGACCAGGGGTGGGCAAACTTTTTGACTCGAGGGCCACAATGGGTTCTTAAACTGGACCGGAGGGCCGGAACAAAAGCATGGATGGAGTGTTTGTGTGAACTAATATAAATTCAAAGTAAACATCATTCCATAAAAGGGTACGGTCTTTTTTTTTTTTTTTTAGTTTTATTCATTTCAAACGGGTCAGATCCGGCCCGCGGGCCGTAGGTTGCCCATGGCTGCTCTAGACTATAGGAGCAGATCTCTTTTAAGCAGCACTGTAGGAATGTCTAACAGGGCAAATAATTCCCACCTCCTAAGATTGTGAGGATTAAATACATGAGGTTATGAAAAAAGCTAGCAAGAATTTAAATTGTGTGATTGGAAAGTTAGTAAACAGGACCCAGGAGCTCAGCTACCTAGTTTCTGCATCCCAGTTAGTCTTATATATGAATTGAGGAATTAATAAAGATCTTGTAATAATAATTTTTCATACTTTCTCAGTACCAGGTATAGTTATAAACCCAGAAGTGTGTGACCTTGACAATATATGAGGTAGACACTATTGGCATCATCTCCATTTTATAGAAGGTGCAAATGACACCCAGACAGGCTGCTAAGTAACTAGCTTAAGGCCACAGCTGTAAGTGGCAAAACCAGACTTCAGACCCAGCAATCTGACTCCACTACTGTGTTCTTCATCATGAGTCCACCCTGCCTTTTTCAGGGACTTGACATCATGAATGTTTCAAGGCTAATGTTTATTTCATTAAGTCTGGTGCCTTGTCTCCCCTCCCATTTGGAGGCAGTTTAACATGCATAAGAGTTATATCACTTAAATAATAAAAGGCAACTGGGGTCCAGCCGGGTGTGGCTCAGCACTTGAGCATAGGTCATGAGTTTGATTCCCTGTCAAGGAATATGTCTGGGTTGACAGCTCAATCCCTAATAGGAGGCAGCCTATTGCTGATTCTCTCTCATCATTGATGTTTCTCTCTCTCGCCCTCTTCCTTGCTCTCTGAAATCAATAAAAATATATTTTAAAAAATAAAGAAGCAGCAGTCACTTTAAAAAAATAGGCAACTGTGTCATTGATTCAAGTGATAAAAACAGTAAGACCCTTTTCTGTTTCTTTTTCTCTCTCTTCTCCAATCGTTTGCCCACCCTAATTCTACTTCCTCCTCCAAGATCTTAGTAAGGACTTCTTCCGGAAGCTCTTTGGTTGATCAATAACAGAAGAAGGATAAGAGAAGGGGAACATGCCCCTCTCCCTAAGAGTAGCGATTACAGGCATGGCAAACTGTTCCCCGTACAATACTGTCGACTCATCACCCTTTTTAGAACAAACAGCAGCTGCAGATGAATTCACATAGTACTCAAGAGTTCAGCCTGTGCACACAGGCCACTCAATATCACCTGTACACCAACAGACACGTTCTTCAGTATGAATACTCCTCAGTAGGCGGTAAGGGATCTTCAGTTCTTTTCTGAAAAATAGAAATAGAGAAAGTCCAAAATAGAGACCTGCTTACCTACATTTTGCGCAGATTTGCCTACATTCTTGAGTATCAGGGATTAGCTGCATTATCACTAGATAGGTAAGAGTGATTTTAATGGAATAGAATAGAGAGCCCAGAAATAGAATAGAGAGCCCAGAAATCGGCCCGAACCAATATGCTCAATTAATATTTGACAAAGGAGGCAAGAACATACAATGGAGCCAAGATAGTCTCTTCAATAAATGGTGTTGGGAAAATTGGACAGATATATGCAAGAAAATGAAACTAGACCACCAACTTACACCACACACAAAAATAAACTCAAAATGGATAAAGGACTTAAATGTACGACAGGAAACCATAAAAATTCTAGAAGAATCCAAAGGCAACAAAATCTCAGACATATGCCGAAGCAATTTCTTCACTGATACAGCTCCTAGGGCACTTGAAACTAAAGAGAAAATGAACAAATGGGACTACATCAAAATAAAAAGCTTCTGCACAGCAAAAGAAACCATCAACAAAACAACAAGAAAACCCACTGTGTGGGAAAACATATTTGCCAATGTCATATCTGATAAGGGCCTAATCTCCAAAATTTATAGGGAACTCATACAACTTAACAAAAGGAAGATAAACAATCCAATCAAAAAATGGGTAAAGGACCTAAATAGACACCTTTCAAAAGAGGACATTCAGAAAGCCAAGAGACATAGGAAAACATGCTCAAAGTCACTAATCATCCGAGAGATGCAAATCAAAACAACAATGAGGTACCATCTCACACCTGTCAGACTGGCTATCATCAACAAATCAACAAACAACAGGTGCTGGAGAGGATGTGGAGAAAAAGGAACACTTGTGCACTGCTGATGGGAATGCAGACTGGTGCAGCCACTATGGAAGACAGTATGGAGTTTCCTTAAAAAACTGAAAATGGAACTCCCATTTGACCCTGTGATCCCACTTCTAGGAATATATCCCAAGAAACCAGAAACACCAATCAGAAAGGATATATGCACCCCTATGTTCATAGCAGCACAATTCACCATAGCTAAGATCTGGAAACAGCCTAAGTGCCCATCAGTAGATGAATGGATTAGAAAACTGTGGTACATCTACACGATGGAATACTATGCTGCTCTAAAAAGGAAGGAACTCTTTCCATTTGCAACGTCATGGATGGAACTGGAGAGCATTATGCTAAGTGAAATAAGCCAGTCAATGAAGGAAAAATACCACATGATCTCACTCATTCATGGATAATAGAGACCATTATAAACTTTTGAACAATAATAGATACAGAGGCAGAGCTGCCTCAAACAGATTGTCAATCTGCAGCGGGAAGGCCGGGGAGGGTTGGGGGGCAGGAGGGAGGGGGGTAAGAGATCAACTAAAGGACTTGTATGCATGCATATAAGCATAACCAATGGACATAAGACACTGGGGGATAGGGGAGGCTAGGGGACTGTGCGGGGGGATAAAATGGACACATATGTAATACCCTTTGTAATACTTTAAGCAATAAATTAAAAAAAAAATCCACAGGAAAGTTAGGTCAAAAAAAAAAAAATTGGTTGGTTTCATTAATGAGGTTACAACAGATGGCAGGTGCCTTGCAGTTGAACCTTAAATACCTAATTTCTTATCTACTACCTACTTTGACTGTAAGATGCTTGGGGGTGTAGATTTCATAGATTCTGAACAAACTTCAGTATCTAATCTTCTACAATGCTAGAATTCTGGGTCTACTGTATGTCATTTGATATTTTGCTTCTATGCATAACACTTCTGTGCATACTTAAGGCATATGTTAATATGTATCTATTTGGATTTGGAATTTTGAAAGTGTTGTCCTTAAACTTAACAGGGAAATTAAAGAATTGGAGTCTAAATACTAAAAAAAAAAAAATGCTCGATTTTCATAACATCGCTATCTTTCCTTGACCCCTGTAAACATGACTCTAATGTTCACGTCAATTCTACAGTATAGATTCTATTTCCTTCCTTTTTTTGAGATACATTTTTATTGATTCCTTCCTTAGATGACAAAACTGAGGTTCAGAGAGGTTAAGTTATTTATCCAAGACCACACAACCTGTACATGGCAAAGCCTAGATTTCAAACATGAGCTAAAGTAAACTACTTTCTTCATCATCAGAGAGATTTAGTTATTTCTTCAGTTTAAGTCAGGTGGGGGAGTAGGGGAATCCAGCGTTTTTAATAAATTATGAAGTGGAAATAGTATGGACACCATTGCCAGCAAAATTATGTACTGCCTTTTTGTACCTCTTCACTGCAATGTATTAGAAAAGTACATTTGGATAGTTGACAATATTGATGAGGAAAATATATTTTATTTATTTAGAAACTGAGGAATATTTTATGCTATTTAAAATTTTTTATATCTACATAGGATTTCTAAGGCTCACTTAGAAGAAAATGTATCTTCATCATATAGGACCAAGGTCCCATTTGAGAACAGTTGATAGATCCATTAGTCATTCTAATTAAAGTCTACTAGCTAAGGATTGCGTTTGGGATATGGATGCTAAAAACCTCTCAGGGTTCAACTTTAGCCTTTACATATACTCTTGCCTCTACAATGCCCCGCTGAACGTTATTTCTAGATCATTGTGCATTGATTTCTTTATTATATATTAATGCTTTCTAATGGAAATATAATTGAGTCCCACCACATCTTTAAAAAAAAAAGATGAAATTAATTGTAACGATGTTTTGTTTAATTCAGTATATCTAAAATATTACCATTTTACATTAAATCAATATAAAAATTACCAAGTTATTTTTATTACCTTTAAAATTTGTTGTGTATTTTACCCTCATTTATTTAATCATATTTCAAGTGCTTAGTAGTCGTCTGTGGCTAGTAGCTGCTATGTTAGGCAGTGCTTATAATAATGTCTTTGCTTAGGGAAATATCATATTACATAGAGAAAAAGAAATACTTCAGAATACCTGTTCTTTGACATATTATTAGAGAGATTGTTGTAGTTTGTAGATTTGGAAGAACTATAGAAGCATAGAACAATTAAGAAAATTATAATTTAAAACCTGTGGTTGGTTTTATTGATTATGCAACATATTTATTAATTTTAGAGATCATAGAAACACCAATTTGTATTTTATTCATTAATGAAAATCCTTGAGAGTGAGTTTTCTTTGATAATGTGGACAGTGTAGATTATTGGAAAGCATTTAGTCTCAACAAAATTCAATTCATATTAATCTTTGAACATATACAACTAACCATCTATAACCTCAGGGGAAGATCAGTTTCTCTTCAGAGAATTGCTTCAAAGGTTAAAAAAATAAGACCTCAAACAGCTTTTTAAAATTTTATTTCACTTATTATAAGCATTCTTCCTTATGAGTTTCTTTGTGAAACATTTCTTCAAAGTTACTAGAAATGTATTGTGAATTCTTATTAATGAAATGTTATTTTGGCCCTTTAGATAGATCAGTACCTGAAAAAGGACTTTGAAAAAGATGATAAGCCACGTGACAAGTCATATCAGAATGCAGTTTTAGAAGATATTTTTAAGAAGAATGACCATGATGGTGATGGCTTCATTTCTCCCAAGGAATACAATGTATATCAACATGATGAACTATAGCATATTTTTATTTCTCAATTTTCTTAGCTGCTTACTCTACTTTATATATAAAACAAAGTCACTTTTTCCAAGTTGTATTTTCTACTTTACCCCATGAGAACATATTTTGATCTCAATACATGTAACTTTGGAATAAATGTGAGGTTATTTTGCAAATTTAATTCTGTGAACATGAGTTGCAGCACCATGAAACTGACCTGTGTGTCCCAGTGGGCAATTTTCCTGCTTCAAGAGATAGGAGGACATCGATGGCAAAATCTACAAAACTCTCCCCAACTCTAACCTAACAACATGTGCACATGTTGTAAGTAACCATTTTTTAATGTTTTAAATGTTTAAATGCCCATATTTTTAAATTTTTCAATAGGGACCAAGGAATTAACATTTCACTGTTTATACCTCTCATAGCATACGAGTAGGTAGTAGTATGTAAAAAGCATAGAACTGAAGAGTCTAGTTTTGGTGTGCATGCAGGAAAATATAAGTTGTATAAAACCCTGTCCCACAGAGAGCCTCAACACAGTCTCTGTACTTTTTGGTGCAAGCTTCTGACTTTATATATTTGTTCCAATGGGGAATTGTTAAAGATGTTTGATCAAATCGTGCATCTTATAGCAGACATAGTACAGTCTGGACTGCTCTGAGTCTGGTACTCCTTTAGACATCAGGATAAATGTGCCGCCACTCTTCCTTCTCATAGGCTTTTATATCTACCATCCCTAACTTTTTGTCTTGATTTTAAATTGATGTCTTGGTATTGCTTAGTTTTCAGTTCCTTCTCTCTAGTATCTCCATCCTATGTCACTTCATTTCACAATGATTTTGTTATTAATCATGAGTGAACATTACAAACATGCCATTAAATTTTTGATAAATGTATAGAATTTATTTTACACATGTGGATACATAAATATCTCTCAGAACTATATGTTAAATAAATGTTTTAAACATTTTCAAAGGAGAAAAGAAATAAATGTACCATGGCAATTTTGTGTCATGGTCACATCATGACATGGTACAACTTGTGGAGAAAAAGAGGTAAGAGATGCTATAGATGCAGTTGGTACCAAAGAAAGGCCACGTTTATTGGAGCATGTAAGGTTTAGCCTACTGCATGTGTAGGAAGGAATGGTCAGGCTCTAAATAGCTCTATTCAAAACAGGTGAGTTCAAAACAAAGCTTTTCCATTTTCTGAAACTTGCTCTTTCCAAACCACTGTATCTCTTAACCTCTTTCTATATACTGCCAGAAATTCTGTTACTTAAAAGGGTAGGGATAACACAAAACCCACCAGATTAGTGGTGTCACATAAGCATAACACAGAGTTTGACACTTCATAAAACAAAAACATTTACTAGTTTTTCTTCCTGCCAATATTGCATCATTCCTCTGCCCTATTTTATAACTTCTCACTTGCTTAGTCAATTATTAATCTCTCTACTTTCTTCAGAAAAACCTGCTCAGTGGAAGTAAACTAAGTTGGTAATATTATGCTTTGGTTTGAAACTGCACCCACTTTCTTTATATAAAAAAGTCACTAGACCCTTGTTTGGTCTGTATCCTCATATTTGCATTTGAATCACATACTCTGTCTAAAATAAAATACAGTGACAAAAGATATAAATGGAAATTATCAGTTAATACAAACTATAATTCTAACCTTTTTGTCCTATTGTTTTTAAACAAAGTGCCTTTAAACTTATCTTTTAAAAGATTATAGTTGATGTTAAATGAATACGGAGATTGATTCTGAAACTAATCACACTTAAATAAAAAATAAAATTTTAATCATTCTACATGCTTTAGTGCTCAAGTAGTTCGTATTCACGTGATTGCATTATGCCTTCATAGGCATATACCTAGTAATGAGTGATGTAATTATACACTGTGAGTTCTAGAATTTGAACATATTATTTTTGCGGTTATTTTCATAAGGGTATATATATATATAGTAAATTTAGGTTGTTTATGACAAATTTCAGATGTCTTACAGAGTAGATGAAAAAGATTTCTTAGAACTAAATATGTTCAATGTTTTAAACATCTTCAGGGGAGAAAAGAAACATTTCCTAGCTGTCTTAACTTTAAAATGACAGCAGTGAGTTTTATACAGCCAAAACTAGCGAGCTTATGTCCATAGCAGCCCATTACTACGATCAGTCACCCTGTTAACTGTACACAATGCCCCACTGAGCTCAATGTGCTTTTAACTTGATACTGCAATTAAGCACTTAGGTTACATTAAATTATTAACACATTTTTCTCATTTTACCAGAAATAGGGCAATAGTTAAAGCACCATAAAGTCGCCTCTTTTGCACTCTTTTCATCTTTAAATGTTAATTAAAACCCAATTAAAAATAAAGTTGGTATTTCAAAAAATCTCTATGTAAAAAGTTACCCAAATGATAAACTAAATCCCTAAAATACTTCTAACGTGAGTGGCAGATTTTATGGAGGAGCATCTACATTCTTAATTTTATATTTAAGCCTTCTTTCCATATAAAAATATTAACCTTCATACAAGTTACGAGGAGACTGTTATCACCTCCACTTTATACATGAAGAAAATGATGCCCAGACAGGTTAATTTCTTTCCCTCTTTAATTTGCCACAATTCATTTTGGAAAGGTGTGTGGCACAGTTGCACCTTAAACACCAGCAAAGTGCATTCATTTTTCATTTTATTTCATTCTCTTGTGCCAAATATCAAAACAAGGAACTGCATGAAGTCTCACGTACTTCTGCCCATCGACAGAACACTGAAAGCACCCATAAACCGTCTCCCTTTTTAAGTTCCCCATCCCACAGAGTATGCAAGGTCCTTTTGGAATGTTGTGATTAAGTAAGTTAACACGGATGTGAGTCCCCTCTTTGAGTGAAATATCAGTCATGCTGAAACGTTTATCATAGTAGTCAGTAAAAAGGTCGTCTAAGTAAAGCTGGGAACGAGAAATGACGTCCATCACTCTTCTATCTAAAGACAGAAACAGAGAAATGTGTCAGAAGTCAAATAAAAAACAACAACATAGAAGCAAGCTGCATTTATAACCATGTGAATCTAAGCCATCAGTCATGAAATAATTTGGCTTTTAAATTTAAATTCTTAACAGGATTACTAATAGACAACCTCAAGTATTGATCCCAGAAGAAAAAGAATATATTTGAAATACTCTTCAATGGACATGGACATACTTCTTTCAAATAGTATGTTTCTCAATCTGTAGAGCACGGCAAACGTTGCTGTCTCTTCCCTTTCAAATCCTCCTTTTGACACTGAAGTGACACAAAGGTCTATAAAAGAAATTTAGAAGATGTTATAAGTTGAACTCAGATTTTTGTGGTTGATGAATTCTGGTACGTGACTTCACTGTATTTGTTTAAGTTAAATTTTACATATTTTTAGGAAAGGTAACATTCACATGGTACACGATTCAAAGAGCACAACAAAGCAGTATAGTGACAAGTCTCTAGACTACTATGACCCCTGCCTCAGTTTTCCACCCCATAGGTAACCGTGTTAACTTTCTTGTGTATATTTCCAGAAATGTTCCATATATTTTATACATAAAATACACACACACACACATATAAAATTCTTTAGGCTCAAAATGTTATATATTACACACATTTCTTTCAAATATCTCTTAGAGATTATTCAATGTCAGGATATGTAGTGCTTCCTCATTCATAGTATTCCTTTGTATGGATGAACCATTATTTAACTAGTTGCTGATAAAAGATCTTAAGGTTATTTCCAATCTTCTACTAGTATGAACTGAATATCCTTATCTCCATATCATTTCACACATGTAAGTATATCTATATGTTACATTCATAAAAGTGTAAGTAAAGCTAAAGTATATGCACATTTTAAATTTTGATGGATATCAGTTCAGACTCCTATCAATATACATAATTGTAAAAAACCTACACCCAAAGGGTCCCAAAGAGAATTTAATTTGCATGTTTTGTTTTGTTCCTGGATCCCGAGTCCCTCTTCCAATAGAACTGCAGAAACAAACATAAACAGGTCTAAAAATGTTTATAAATTACCATGGCCAGAGGGCTCACTTGCCTGGTTCTTTGGCCTACACCTAGACTTGAGCTGGCTGGCCTCCTAACCTTAAAGGTCTGTAAAATGTAGAAATCTAAAGTGAGCCTCACTGAGGTATTACATAAGGTGACAATTTTAGGGGCAGTATTTGTACTTTTAACGTTATTTTTAGGGAGAGTTGGGGCGGGGCGGATCTCTGATAGATAAAATTAAAGAAAAGTTGTCTTTGGGTATACTAGTTTGGGTGCCCTGACATCTTCAGGCATCTTACTGTCTATTTACTCCTCTATTTGCCATAATAAAAAACTACCTATTAGAAGGCCATGTATTATCTCCCCATATGTCAAGGAATACTTTTGTCAGTGGACTGCATTTTAGCTCTTATCTGTAATTGTAAGTGGGGTGGTGGGAGTCTGTAGCCTTTACCAAGAAGAAGAAAAGAGGTACTGGGTAAGTAGGGAGTGGAGGGTATTTCCTAGCTACTTCATCCAAGCTGCCCAGAGGTGTGGCTCAGTGGTTGAGCATTGACCTATGAACCAGGAGGTCATGATTCGATTCCTGGTCAGGGCACATGCCCCGTTGGGTTGCGGGCTTGATCCCCAATGGGGGGCATGCAGGAGGTAGCCAATCAATGATTCTCTCTCATCATTGATGTTTCTGACTCTTTCCTCCCTTCCTCTCTGAAATCAATAAAAATATATTTTAGAAAAAAGATTGACAGTGCTGAGAGCATCACTCTTCTATAATTAAAGAGGCAGTGGTGAGAGCATCACTCTTCTAATCTTAAAGAGAGAGACAAAGCGAGAGAATTAAATTCTTAAAAATGTAATCAAGTCTGTGTTTCATGCAAGTCACTCACTCACCAAAGACACCATCCAAGTA